TCCACAACCACTATGAGATACCAGTTCATACCCACTAGGATGGCCAGATAACAGAGATGGGTAATACAAGCGTTGGTGAGGTTGTGGAGAAATTGGAATTTCTCATATTCTGCTAGTGGGTGTAAAATGGTGCAGCCATTTGGGAGAGCCTGGCTGTTCCTCAAAGGGTTAAACACAGTTACCATTCAACCCAGCAATGCCACTCCACCATGTATTCCAAAGAAACGGAGGCAGATGCCCACACACACTCTTACACAAACGTTCACAGCAGCATTATCCATAGTAGCTGAGTGGATCAACCCAGTGTCCACCAACTGATAAATGGGAAAACAAAATGTGACCTCTCCTTACAATGGAATACTATTCAGCCACAAAGAGGAATAAAGTACTGGTACGTGCTCAACATGGATGAACCTTAAAAAAATTAGGCTAAGTGACAGAAGCCAGTCACGCCCTGGCCAGGGGGTCAGTGGGCTGAGCGTTGCCTGGTGCATAGAAAGATCGCTGGTTCAGTTCCTGGTCAGGACACACGCCTGGTTTGGGTTTGATCCCTGGTTGGGGTGAGCTCAGGAGGCAACAGACTGATGTTTCTCTCTCTCTCTCTCTCTCCTATTTTTCTCTCTCTCTCTCTCCCTCTCCCTTCCTCTCTAAAATCAATTTTTTAGACTACAGGCTCGACACAGAAGGTAGCCAGCAATTCCAACGCTCACTGCTGCATTGGGTCTCCTTACTCCGGGCCAGCCCAGCACCTCCAGGCACAGAGCCCACGGGCAGCAAAGGGCCTACGGACGTCCCGCCAGGAACAGCCATGCAGCAGGGGCAGGAGGCGGGGTGCACTTCTTCCGCAGTCTTTTCAGAAACAGAGGAACCTGCCAGTGACATCAAGAAAAAAACTGATATTCTGCTAAAGGCTGTGGGAGACACCCCTATCATGAAAACAAAGATGTGGGCTGTGAAGCGAACCCAAGGACTCACTGCCTTCATCAAAAAGTTCCTTAAACTTGTGGCTTCAGAACAGTTGTTTGTTTATGTGAATTGGTCCTTTGCCCCTTCCCCTGACCAGGAAGTTGGAACCTCGATGAGTGCTGGCAGTGATGGTAAGCTGGGCCCATGTCACTGCAAATCTCAGGCCTGGGCCTGAAGACAGAGCACAAGATCTCGATAGCTAAATGAATCTTCACACAGGACACAGCTCTGAAAGGTTGATCCTTACATCAAAATGCTTGTGGGTATGATCTCCTCAGCGTGGTACCTGCTAGGACCCTTGTTTATCATTTAAAAAAACCCATAGACTGAAGGGCCCCGGGTTCAATTCCAGTCAAGGGCATGTGCCTTGGTTGCGGGCATATCCCCAGTGCGGGGTGTGCAGGAGACAGCTGGTCGATGTTTCTCTCTCATCGATGTTTCTAACTTTCTGTCCCTCTCCCTTCCTCTCTGTAAAAAACCAATAAGATATATTTAAAAAACCCATAGAGTTGACTCACAAAAACGTGATTTGCATTAACACAGAAATATCATAAATGATGGATATTACAGTATACTCAGTACCACAGCTATTGCTCCAATATGCCTCTGGGATATTGAAAGGAGACTAAGGCTGTACAAGGCCTCTTTTCTGTTTGTTTCTTTCTTTAATTTATTGTTGAAAGTATCACAGATGTCCACTCCCCTGTACTAGACCCTGAACTGGGTTGGGAGTCCCCACTATGTGTTCCCACAACACTTTTTCCTTCTCTGATCAGAACTCATTATTCATTATTGTTAACATTTATTAATTGTCTGGCTTCGCCTTTAACAGTCACAAATGCCTACTGAGCACTCACTCTGTGTCAGACACTATGCTACGTGCTTTACATTTAACCTCATTTCACAGATGAGGAAACTGAGGCGAGGCAAAGTGAGGTACCTTCCCAGGCCGTTCAAATCCAGAGCCATACCCTTACCCACCAAGCTCTCCACGGGGTGAAATCTTACCTCTTTTTTTTTTCTGTACCCCAGTACCCAGAACAGTGGCCAGCACAAGAGGGCTTTGAAAGACTGGGTGGCCAATCATAATGCAGAGGGCATTACTGTACTGTTGGGGGGAACGGACCCCTTGACCCCTTCTAGGCTGCACCCGCCCAGATCTTCACCACACTATTGTCTGTGACCACGGTTATGCAGATACGCATACAACTTCTTTGGTGGATCTCTTCCTATCCTCCTGCCTTCCCTCTGAGATTTGACTGTCTGTTCCATGCTTCTATGTCTCTGGATCTATTTTGTTCACCAGTTTATTTTGTTCTTTAGATTCCACATAGGAATGAGATCATGTGATACTTGTCAAAAAATAACATTTTTTAAAAGCCAGTCACAGAAGATCTCATATTGCATGATTTCATTTATATGAAATGTGCAGAATAGGGAAATCTATGGAGACAGAAAGTAGATTAGTGGCTGCCTAGGGCAGTGGTCGGCAAACTCATTAGTCAACAGAGCCAACTATCAACAGGACAATGATTGAAATTTCTTTTGAGAGCAAATTGTTTTTAACTTAAACTATATAGGTAGGTACATTGCTATTAACTTAACTAGGGTCCTCCTAAGCTGGCCTTTGCTAAAAACGTCCTCTATCTGATTGAGGTATGTTCGCTGAGGTCGACCCCTTCCAACTCTCCCATCCACACTCGTCTTGTACACTTGTTTCGTCTATCTTTTGTCACCCGCGAGCGATTTGCGGACGTGACTAGCACTAACCACTGCACAATGAGACTGCTGACTGACTGGCTCACTCAACTCGTGCATGAATCGCGCGCGCCTCCCCAGCACCGCGTCTCCCGTTGCCTGACCGACCGACTGACACCCCCCACTTCTTCTAACACCACTTCTTCAAAATAGACTCGCCCAGGCCGAAAACCGACTTCTGCGCATGGGCCACGAAGTTTCAATCGTACTGTACGTGCTCGCCCGCACGTGGTATTTTGTGGAAGAGCCACACTCAAGGGGCCAAAGAGCCGCATGTGGCTTGTGAGCCACGGTTTGCCGACCACTGGTCTAGGGCAAGGGGATTTGGGGCAAAATGGAGTGTTAAGGGGTACAGGGCTTCTTTTTGAGGTGATAGAAATGTTCTAAATTTGATGGTGGTGGTGGTTGCACTGCTCTGTAAATATAAGAAAGCCCTCACTGGCCACACATCCCAGCCAGCCAAGTCGTCCTGCCACGCCCCCGGCCAAGGTTTTAACAGACTCACTAAAATGCCATCTCACATGGAATCCGCCATAGAAGACATGGTTTTCAGGTTTCACAGATTTGCTGGGGGGAAATTCTACTTAACAAAGGAGGACCTGGGAGTACTCATAGAAAAAGAGTCCCCTGGGTTTTTGGAAAATCAAAAAGACTCTCAGGCTGTGGACAGAACAATGAAGTGACCTGGGTCAGTGCCGAGATGGCCAAGTGGGCGCTCAGAATTCTTCGCCCTGGTGCCGGCTCACCGTGGCGTGCGATGGCTATGTGCGCACGAAGCAGAAGGGAAAGTACGCAGCACTGAGCTGGGCCCCGTCCTGGGGACAGTTCTCCCCAAGTGTCACCTCAGGATCCCTGCCCTGCAGCTGCCCTTCTGAGGATTTGATGAGCAGATTGAGACCCTTTAGTACAAGTAAAATCCCACCCCCATTCAACAAGAGAAAGAAAAGCCAAGTAAACACAGAGAAGCTTCTGATTTTCATGTTTGCATCTTCTTGCCCTCAATAAACAAATTTCTTTTTCAGTTCCTAAAAAAAATACAAAAGACCATTGACTTGCACACTTTAAATTGATGACTTGTATGTGAATTTAATATATATTTTTAACAGGCCTCTGTGCAGAGAAAAATTCCTGTATTTTGGGGGAAACAAATCAAGCAGAGAAGTACAGTTTCCTTTGACCCTGTGCCATTGGAACCACATTTTTAAAAACTTCGCCCCGTCCAGTCCATTCCCACGCGAGGAAAATCTCCCAAGCACCGTGCGTGCGGTACTTTCCTGTGTGTTTCATTTCATACTTGGTAACTTTTTGTAAAGCCATGTTTCTATTACTTGAATTTATTTTCAGAATTGATGTTAATAAAAACAAGAGAGCCCTAGCCGGTTTGGCTCAGTGGATAGAGCATCAGACTGCAGACTGAAGGGTCTCAGGTTCGATTCCAGTCAAGGGCATGTACCTTGGTTGTGCACATCCCCAGTAGGTGTGCAGGAGGCAGCTGATCAATGTTTCTCTCTCATTGATGTTGTAACTCTCTCCCTTCTTCTCTTTAAAAAAACAATAAAATATATTAAAAAAAAAACCAAACAAACAAACGAGAGGTCCTAAACACTTGTCAGAGATATGCATCAGAGAGAACCCAGGGTCAAGGATGGGAAGGCAACTTCCTTTTTAGTGTGTAACCTTTGTACTATTTGAATTTTTTATCATTTTTACCAAACAAGTATAGGAACCCTGCTTTTTGAAAGTTCTCATTATACCACTTTGTTTTTATGAAAGACCTACATTTTTACCTGTTTTGATAACCAAAAGAATCCAAAAAGGAGTTTGCTTTTATGAAAAAAATGGAAAACAGCATTTGTTTTGCAGCGAGGCAGCCATTATAGAGGCAGCGAGCAGTGCACCCCCGGCTTCTCCCAGGCAGCACCACTCAGCATCTCCACATCGAGCCCAGAGCTTTGAGCTGCATCTGTGAGCATCTGTGCTTTATTCCATTTATTCTGTGCCTCTGTTAGCCAGATGTGAGCGAAGGTACCAAAGGCCTACGAGAGCTCATAAGAGTGTTGATGCCTAGCATAAAACCAGGCATGATTAAGCATAGTTGGTGTGATTTGGCAGGTTATTTTTGGGATCTGGGAACGCTCAAACGATTTTCCATATAAGTTAATGGTACTTGCTTCTTCACTTTACACCATTTCAGCTTACCAACGTTTCATAGGAATGCTCTACGTTCAGATAGTGGGGGAGACACTTGATACAGAGTCTGGAAGGGCCATGTGTCCTGGCCAGATGTCGCCTCCCTGAACAGTTTGTGTCTGAGACTGTCAGGAAGGAGACAGCAACGGCCAGCTTAGCCCTGGTGGGTTGCTCAGTGGTTAGAGCCTCCGCCTGCACACTGAAGTGTCTCGGGTCAAGGGGCATGTACCTGGTGTCTCTCTTACATAGATCTCTCTCTCTCTCTCTCTCTCTCTCTCCCTCCCTCCCTCCCTCCCTTCCACTCTCACTGAAAAGCAATGGGAAAAATATACTCAGGTGAGAAAAGAAAGGAAGGAAGGAAGGAAGGAAGGAAAGAAGGAAGGAAAGAAGGAGGGAGGGAGGGAGGAAGGACCAGCTTAGTAGGCTTGATAGGTGTCCTGCTACAAGGGAGACAGAGGGATATGAATCTCCTCAGAGAAAAAAATGCCAGCTGAGGTGGGCTTGGTCCTCAGAGAGGCAGGGGCACTTGGGGTCCCCCAGCCCCAGGCCAAGGGCACACCCTGGAGCTAGGAGGCCAAAGGCCTGCTGGTTCTCACGGCTGCCTGTCCCGGGGGAAGTCTTGCTCTCAGCAGGGCGCTGCCTCTTCCCACACCGCCCCCGCGAGGCTCTGAGTCCCACGGGCCCACAGGCTGTGATCGGCCCGCTCCGGGGCGGGTGCTTTCCTCCAGCACCCAGAATAGCCACAGCCAGGCCCTGGCCAGCTCCGGGACCCCAGCCTCGGGCTGGAACCCTAGCCTCGGGCTGGAACCTTTACAGAGAGGAAGGCCCCAGCCTGGGGCTGGGCTGGGCCGTTCAGCAGCCCCTGCTCTTGGTGAACGGACACGCGGAGGCGGGAGGAGGGATGTTCTACCAGCTGGGAGCCCGGAGCAGAGGAAAAGTCGGAGGCAGGTGAACTGAGAGAGAGATGGGGCAGGAGAGGAGCGCGACGCCGTCCGGACAGACACAGACTGAGGCCTAGAGATCGGAACAGGGCCGGTCAGAACCCGCGACGAAGACCAGGACCACGACCAGGCGTCCGGGCAGGGAGGCATCCGGTAGCTGGA